TCAGCAGTTCAATACTTAGCTGAAGAATAAAACACTGCACACAAAGACATATACTGATCTGGATTCTGGCGAGGATACAGCTCAATGCATTAGCTCAGAGCATCTCAAATCCAGTCAAACAGACTTTCATTTGGATGTCAGAGGTTTAAGTGTTCTGCTCTATGGGATAGTCAGGCTCAAACACAGTTAAGAAAAAAGACAAAGTTGATGCTTTGTTTTGGTCCAACAGTTAATAGGAGTTGCATGTCTCTTAACAGGGTTATATCAGAAAGGTATTCTAAGTAAAAAAAACAAAGAATTAAAAATACCAACAGCAGCTGAAGTATCATCATTCACTAAATGATAAGCATAAGAGCACATCTTACCAAAGGGAAACTACCACTTCCTTTTTAGAATCGATATAGAGAAACTGTTTTGATCTCAAATATACTAACTTTATTCACAACTACATAAGTATCTTGTTTCTAGAACTGCAACTCTACCACTTATTGCTTCACTTTTTTCCTACATACTATTTATGAAAGAATTTATTAGACTAATTCATATAATGTATATCCAACATAATCTGCAAACTTTTTGTTTACAACTCCCTTAGCTGCCCACAGTAACCATCCACACCAGGCACTTTCCCCTGCAATAGAACCCGCTGCATCACCTGTAGATGTATATCCAATACCATGCATATTCACTGCTCTGGACAATTCCAGATCACCCAGATGACATCATGTATTTCCAGAAATATAATTTACTGCATCCCCTGCAGAAAATGCCCAGCTGTTTACATGATAAATACAGAGACAAGAGCAAGACTGGCAGACCATTTTAAGGAATATGTCAGAACTGTCTCTCTCTGAACAGATAGTTCCCCATTTCACCCATAACGGCCACAATGTTCTTATTCCAGAATGAATTCCAAATCCAAACTTAACCTATAAGCAAATTATTAGCCAGCAGCCATATCACCCTGCAACTCACAGCTGGCAACCCACTGAAGCTAAGCTTAGCAGGTGTGAGCCTGGTCAGTACCTGGATGGGAGACCTCCTGGGAAAAACTAAGGTTGCTGCTGGAAGAAGTGTTAGCTGGGCCAGTAGGGGGCGCTCACCCTGTGGTCCATGTGGGTCCTAATGCCCCAGTATGGTGACGGGGACACTATACTGTAAACAGGTGCAGTCCTTCGGATTAGACGTAAAACCGAGGGTCTGACTCTATGTGGTCATTAAAAATCCCAGGGTGTTTCTTGAAAAGAGTAGGGGTGTAACCATGGCATCCTGGCCAAATTTCCCATTGGCCCTTACCAATCTACAATCCCCATCTATGAATTGGCTTCATTACTCAGCTCTCCTCCCCACTGATAGCTGTGTGGTGTGTGGTGAGCGTTCTGGCGCACTATGGCTGGCATCACATCATCCAGGTGGATGCTGCACATTGGTGGTGGTGGTGGAGGGGAGTCCTCATTACCTATATTGTGCTTTGAGTGGAGTGTCCAGAAAAAGCGCTATATTAGTGTAAGCAATTATAATTCATTGGTAAATGTATTAAAATATAAACACTGGCATATTGTATGTAGATCACACATTGCTTTGAATGTTTTAATTGATGAACAGCTAATGTCAGGAGAGAACAATCTAAAATTGTAGGGTAAAGCTGCAATCTTTATATAATATCTAATCTAGTTTTGGACATAAAATGTGTTCAATATATACACATATTAATAGTACTTGGTTTTTTAATTAAAATAGGACGTTCTGCTTGGATTTAAGAAAAGCTCCCAAAAATGCTTTTTTAAGTCTTCAAACACAGGACCATATGACCTTCAATGACCTGAAAAGAAATTCATCTAGTCACCTGTCTGAACAATGGCTAAATTGGATATTTCCAATGAAATTGTACTTGTTACAAATGCCAAAGGTAATCTTTTAATCTTATATATCAATCACTATGTTAAAGGCATTATTCACTTAATTTAGGCTGAATAACAAAGCTCCATCATCCATTCATCATTCTTATGTGTCAAGCACTCTGGGATTTCCTTTCCTGTATCACCACAGGAGGGCACCCAATAAACATTTAGGCTTAATCAGACTTCAGTTGAAAACCAAACCTTTAAGTACTGTAAATACATTTGTTAACACCATAACGTTATAGCTAACATTTCTGGAGTCTTACTTTAAGTATAGTATCATACACTGAGTAGATAATTTTCATCAATTTCCCTACGGGATTAATAAAGTATTATCCATCTATCTATAATGACAGGTAGGAGTCAAAAGATGTGCCTGTAGGCAATGAGAGGCAGAAATGCCACTTTTAAGGTGCACCTTCAAATACCACTGGGTCCATTAGGATGTTACTTACAGACACCTTTCACTTTCCCAGAAGTGTTTAGCTATTTTCCAGAAAAAAGTATCTTCTTAGAACTTAATCTCTTTTCCTGTTCTGAGAGATGTAATAAGCAAAATATGTATTTTATACCTGAATAACCAGAATACACAAAAACATAGTCAATACTTTGCTCATGGGAAAGTCCTGAGATACTGTCATCAACATCACTAATAGTAGCTGTGTGTAAAAAGATCTACTAAATTCATCAGACAACTCTGAAGCATCAGCTAAGGCTATAAGAGAATATAAGATCAGCCACTTTCAAAGTCGGTATCCTTAAGGAAAAATATAATTACCATTGACCAGTAACATGAACTAGAAATTTGTTATAAATGTTGTTAGATTTATAACAATAAATCTAACTATTTCATGTATAAAATACTACATTGCAAATTCATTTGAAGTCTGCATCAGAATCTAACAGGATTTTTTCATTTGCCTGATCTTTACTTTCAATGTGTGCCTTTTGATTATAAGATCCCTGCCAGAGTGCAACTAATGGTAACCAAAACTAAAATCATATGAATGTCAGTCATCTACTGTAACTCTAGTACACTGATGACACAGCAGTATGTTCTTTGTCAGAAATGGATCGCTGAAACTGGAACTCTGGAACTGTCAACATACAATGTTCTGTAACAGTATTCATCCACTTCCAATGATGTTCTATTTTATCTAATTTCAAATGTTGTACACACATTTTTAAAGTGAATGTTTTAAATCCAACTTGGATGCAGAATTTAAACACTTTAATGGAGGAACAAATTAAATGTCCACAAACAAAAAAATACCAAAACTGAAATATGGTGTATATTCACATAAACCTAAAATTAATTCTGGTAAACAGAACTTCTTTCACAAGTCACACAACTAGATGAACAGGCTCTGTCTGTTTTTAATAATAGTTTCACATGACTTTAGAATAAATACTACTTAAATTATTTCATCCATAAAAGTATTCAAGATTTGATTAAAAATATGTATATATGTGTATATTTCATTTGTAATTCAACAAAATGGGACAGCGCTGAAAGAGGTTGAATACTTGCAAGTTACTGTATTTATTGAATCAAACGGGAAGAATGGATTTACACTTAATTTAAACCAAACTTCTCTAGAAGCAGGTTCTAAAAGTAGATATCATGGCATCATTAATGTACAGTAGATTTACAATGAATGGGGAACTTTTCATATCTTGCACGTTATCTTTTTCACAAAAGACTGATATTATTGAAAAAGCTGAGCATTGCCTGAAATGTACATTTGCTATCTTTGGTCATCTGAGGTACAGATGTAGCCACTCAGAATGCTAGATGTGTAGAATATGCCATGTTATTCTGAAAAATAACACCCAACACTTTTTTATTTTTTCAAATAATCTTATGCAAAACTGCACTTCTTTGTAAAACTGCCAGGTGACACAATGAATCCTTAATATAAAATGTCTCACATACAGTAAATCGTATTTTAATAATAAAAACTAAAAGTCTAAAACACTAAAATAATTTTTCATTTTTAATTAAGACAGTACACCGAATTATTAGTATAGTAGTTGTATATAAATAGTAATTATAAAAAGCACATAATTTTATTTTAGGTTTTCATTGTAAAACATACATAGTGTCTTTAAAAAAACATTATATTTTTAAAGCAAATCAAAATGTAAAAATGTGTTTGATTATTGTGACATGCTTACAGTCATCATTCTTTTCTTACAATGTGGAGCTGAAACATGGATGATAGACATGAGACAGATGAAGGGACTGGAGTTGTACTAGCAACACAGTGTAGAGCATATTTTATGTATCAAGTGAGAGTACAGATGCAGCAAACACCAGTGCTTTCTCCAAGATACCACAAACATTGCAGCTATGATCATCAGCCATCAGCTCCACTGGGTTTGTCCAGATGTCAGACTCTCTAGATGCCTAGAGAAGGAACTCTTCTCCCAACTTATGTAAAACAATTGCACAAGAGGAGGATAGAAAAATGTGTTAAAAAGAAAATATGAGGAAATGCAATATTGATATCGCCTCCCGGGAGACAATGACCTTTGACTGAAGCACATAAAAGAAGAATATATGAAAAAGAGTTGAGCACTTTGAGACCCAAAGGTTTCAGAACAAGAAAACAAAGTAAGAATGTAAAAGACACCAAATAGCGCAGGATACATCCAGACATTTCTCAAAGCAACACCTGGATAACCTGGCAGAATGTGTGAGAATCTTGTATTGGTCTAGATTTGTCTAATGGTATCATGGTGAGTCAGCACCATCAATAGAGAGAAAAAAATGCATTCGCTGAATGGTGAATGCTAATACTTTAAAAAAAATATACAGTTAATTTATCTTTTAGATATAAAAAAATACATGACACATATGATTGAGACATATGATATGCTAGAGAAGTCTGGATTTAGATTGCTCCATGGGATATCAGAGATTAATTTACACATTTACACATCAAAGAGATACAAATAAATACATCAAGCAATGGTACAGAAGAAATACAAAGATATTTATTTGACTCTTACTGCTTTCCATAGAGGTCACAGAGTGGCACTGAAACAGGTACATTTTTATTTCAAGGTAGGTCAGTAAGAATATCAAGTACTTACCCTGTAAAGTGTGTGACATTTGTCCTTGAAACATGGAGCTAAACGGGTATAGATCTGTAGGGCATAATAATATGCCGCCAACTGCAGAGATAATGCTGAATGAGATTGCTTATCAAAACACTTGTTGGCATCCAGTACCTAAAACAGAATACCAGCATGTATTAAAATAACCACTGATGGCAATAGCTTGATATGATTAAGCAGGAGAGAGGTATTATACTGTAAATCATAATCACATTATTCTTTAAAATTAGATAACTTTAGTTTTTTACAGATGTTTCACAGGTAAAAAACAGCAATCTAATCTACTACATGATTATTTAATTGGGAAACAACTGAAATATTCTCTTGACCTCTCACAGTTTTAGAGTAATTTATAGATTTAAATATCTACACATCAACATGAACAAGTTTCAAGTTTACTTTGCAGGTGTACTGCAAACATCACAGGTCAGGATGCTAGTACTCTAGTAGACTAAACAAATGCAGACCAGACAGCTTGTAAGCAGCAGTTTCAAAGGGATTGATTAAAACAAGGAAAGTTGTATTGTCAGAAGTATCCGTATGTTATTTTAAATTACATTGCACCCCTGAAATTTTAGAAAAAAATGCATTTAGTTTGAAGTATGAAAAAATAATTCAGTTCAAGAACAAGGCACTTGGCACTCTTAACAAAAACAGAATATGGAGTGAGTAAACCAGTTATTTAAAAAAAACAACTTAAAATTCACAAAATAACCTAAAAGGAAAAGGGTTTAAAATTGTTTATTAAATTATATTTTTAAATGACATTCTTCCATATGTGAAAAATATAATCTTCCTGAACATCAAGAATTAGACTCGATCTCATGAATATATGCTACATGTTCCAATTCTGAGTGGTATTAATGCATACTGTACACATACATAACTGTCAGAAAAAAGATAATTAGTCATTTTTTGTGGTCCTACAGGTAGGCATTATACCATTAGATGAAGCTGTATAAACTGTGTATAAAAGTTTTACAAAAGGAGCCTGATCATGTAGCACAAGCTCAGACCAAGAGAACATTTTCAAAGATGGCAGTGACATACCTGTGGTAGTGAAAGCAGATAGGCTAAAGCTAGAGTCATATCCTTAGGAAGGGCATCACTAGCCAGCTGAATCAAGACTGAAAAAAAGTGATTAAAAATCAAAAAGTGAGCTTTCAGACAAGTCATGTGTATTTCTACAATTGAAAAATCAGAAGCGTTTCAGGAAACGCGCACACAGAAATAGCAGAGAGAGCTTTCAATGATAATCATTGTGTTCCTTAAAATGGGTCATTAAAATATTTTCAAAGTCTCTTTTTGCATTTTTACATTTTATGTTTCCTTCAGTTCCTGAAGGAAGCCAGACACCATTATTTATTTTTCTAAGTCAGGGAGAACAGATAAAGTGTCTGATGTGATACCAAAAAACAAAATTTGCTTGCCTTGATTATTTAATGTGCTGTGATCTAAATACATATATATGCATCTAAATATAAATTTCACGATAATTATAAACTTGGGGAAGGAGTCAGAAATTAAACAATGAGATAATTTTTTAATTTCACCCTTATTTTCCACTGAAATATCTAAACTGAGTTTAGAGGAGTGAAGCCAAGTGAAGCCAAAATGTTCACCTCTTCCAGCATAGTGTATATGCTTTATAATGTATAAACAACTAAACTTGTGGCCAAAGCTACTCTGACACATGACAGATACAGTTCTAAAAAATCTGGACTTTGTCCTATTGGCACACATTCAATATCACTCAAACAAATGTAGTGAACTCCTGGATTCACAAAATTGGCAGCTTTGAGACTCTAGGTTTCACTGTCCTCCAAGTGCAAAGTAAAGCCTTTCATTGAACCAGCCACTTGAGAGCTGTCTAGTAATGATTCTCACAGCAGACTCTTTAATATCAAATAAAGTAATAAAGCATAAGATATATAATTTAAAAAATCCTACACAGACTAGTTGTATAAATGCTGGTAGACAGACGGAGTGCTTTGCACACGCAATAAAACAATTAAACTAAATAATTTATTCAAAATCTGAACACTCAAACAGAAGACTTCTAAGGGCTACATTAAAGTGTATATCAACCAAAACTAAGGAGAAAAAAAAACCTGAAATGTTTTGATTAAGTATTCGGACCCATATTTGATGGAAGCACCCTTGGCAGCACTCACAGTACAGTCATGGGTCTCTACCAACAATTGATCTTGGTGCAATTGTTGCCTATTATTCTTGGCAGATTTGCTCAAAATCTCTCATGTTATTTGGGACTCATGGACATTTTCACTCATTTCAGCCATTGAGAGATGTAGCTCTTTCAAAGTCACTGTTGGTCTTACAGCCAGATCTAAGTTTCGAACTGGGTGCTCAGTTAGGAAAGACACACATATTAGGCAATGCATGAGTGGTATAATACTCATTCCATTTCTTCATGACTGACTTCACAGTGCTCAAATGGATGTTCAGTGATTTTTCATACATTCTCCTGATCTGTGCTTTTCCACAACTTTATTTATTTATATTTATATTGTTTTGAAAGCTTCTTAGACTTTATTGATGAATACATGCTTTAAAGTCACCAACTGAGGGTGACTTAGAAAGACAGGTGTTTTAATTCATGAGAGTTTTTTTCATAATTGTACACAGAGGCCTTGAATAACTGAATCATCCTCTGCCATAGAAAAGTGTTTAAATGCATGCATATTTTTCATCTTCTTTTTTATTTTGGTTATAACGCATGGAGTAGATTGTGTATGCTGTATGACAAATATTAATTTATACTTATTAGCGTCATTCTTTAAAGCAACCATTTAAAAACTATGCAAAGGTTTAAATAATTTTGTTAGGCACTGCATGAGAGATACATTAAAGTAAAGAGTATCTAATCTTCCCACTAGTACAACCTCCTTGAATCCTGATCTCATTAATATCTTCACACCCCAAGCAAAAGTTCAGCGTTATGACTCTCACAATGCAAATGAGTGTAATAAAATCTAAGTTAGAGTGTAAAAAAATAAACTTCACAAAGGACTATTTTTTATTTAGTAACTGCTTGATGAAATTATTTTACCAATTAGTTAATCTATTCATTAATTCTCTTTCCGGGGAATTGAATATTATTTAAAACCAATAACAATAAAAGCTTATGAGTTAAAGGTTAACCATCCATCATGCTGGCATTTTTTCATTAAGTCTACAACAGCTAAAAAAAAAAATAAGCTCTTTGTGAGGTAATTAAATATAAAAATAAACAGTATGATGAAATGCAAGAAAAATGAACACCTAACCGATAGTCTTGAAAAAGTATTCAAAGTACTCATATAATGCTAACCTTTTGTGAAACTCCAAAATTGCAAACTCACAGGTTTTTAAATTCATATTTAATTTGAACGATCCTTGAATGATCAAACCGGAGTCTTATTAAGGGTACGATGCAGTAAATGTCAGCAAAAATTAAAGAAAAAAAATAAATGTTGATTGCAGAAGTGTTCAGACTTCCGAAATCACTTCAAGTAGGCATGTTTAGGCTGCAAACACATCTGAAGAAGGCCCCACAGCCAAAACGTTGTGTTTCTTTTCTTCTCTTTTCAGCATAGAATAAACCTTTAATTGTTCTGAAAGCACCTTTGTCAGCAATTACAGCCACGAGCAGTTATTGTAAGTCTCTACCAACATCTCACACCATTTTAGTGCAATTCTTGCCTATTCTTCTTAGCAGAATTTCTCAAGATCTCTCATGTTGTCTGGGGCTCATTGACAACAGTATTGTTAACTATTGGACATTTTATCCCATTTCAGCCACTGAACTATTTTATGTATCTTTCAAAGTCACCATTGGCCCCGCAGCTGGATCTCTAACCAGTTTTCTGTTTACCTTGATGTTCAGTTGAGAGAGACGGACAGATTTAGGCAGAGTATAGGTGGTATGATACTCATTCAATTTATTCAAGATTGACTTCACCATACTCTGAGGGATATTGACTCACAAAACAATTAAACTAAATAATTTATTTAATATTTTCTTTTCATTTTCTATATCTTTTTCTTGATGCTTTCTTGTGCTTTCCACAACTTTATTTCTGAGCTGGTTTGAAAGCTTTTTAGACTTCATTGCAGAATACTTGCTTGAAATTCACTATCTGACCGAGGGATCTTATAGAGACAGGTAATTTGTATTTATTATTGCACACAAACAGAAGTCACTCATATAATTGTGTGGTTTGTTAAGGTATATTGGCCAAGAGTAAGTCCATATACTGTATAACCAGAATTGTGTGCAAGGCTTTCTCTTTGACCAGAGAAAACTTGAAACTCACAAGCCAATTGTAATTTTGCTTGATCAACAAAATGGTTGGGAGTTTTATGGACAAACCTAAATATTGACAAATAAACACTTATTCCTAAAATATTTGATACATTTTAGCTTGTAGAAGTAAAACAATATTTACTGTCTTTGAGAAAATGAACGTTGTTTAATTTCTGTATAAACAGTAAGACTGTATAATTTAACTTTTAACATACAAGATATACATAGCAAATGTTGTAGTCAAAGTATTTTACCCTAATATTATTAATCTTTGCAATCTCTGATTGAATGGGTCAAAATGATTTGTGTATGTACTGTTACTCCTGCTGGTTTGTTTTGCACATTGTGTTGTTGTATTAAGGAACTGTATTTTAAATACTTTGTATTTAGATGCTGATACTGGTTTTTATGTTACCTGATTGATTGTTCCTAATAAAAAAAGTACTCATTCAATTTAGTGTTTCTATTTCTGATTGTTCCACAATATTCAAAGAATCATATTATTACACTATTTTTTTCTGAAACCAAGCAAGCCTATTGCACACAGGCAGAGGTCACACAACTAATTTTGTGGCTCGTTTAGGTGATTTTGTGCACCTGAATTTAGGTTTGCCAAAGCAGAGGGTATGAATACGTAAGTAATCTTGAAACATTTCTTTCATATTATTTACTCCCTTCTTTTTCTTTGTGTGTTGAAGATGTGTACTCCTCCATAGACTTGATGAATAAGAACAAAATATATAAAAATACAGGCTGGATAATGTAGTCTTGCTTAAAAATATAATGTTATCTTGGTAGCATTGCACAGAACAAAGACAAAATATATGCATTATAAACCCATTGTTTAAATTATGTCAGATGCTGAAGTCTTTTTTTAAAGATCCCTTCCACTACTTCACAAATTGTTCTCAAGAATTTACACAGTTATGTAAACTTAGCACTCTCACTAAACTGGACAATTTATTCAAGAGTGAATGAATGTATATCTATTACATTCCTACCTGTAAAATCAAATGACAACCCAAGTCTTTATGATGGACTTTGGCACTGAGGGGAAAAATAACTTTCCATTCATTTTCCTTCAAAGTCCTCATTTTCCTTTGCCATGTGAAGAACTCTACTGGTCAAAATACTGAATAAGAACACCAATACTGTTGAAAAAGTGCATGTTATGTAATGTCTGGAAAATATTAATATTTGAGTAGATTAAATGAAAGTGAAGGAAACACAGATATCCAAGGAACATCCACTAGGAAGATCTATATCCTCACCTGGGACAAAAAAAACAACCAAACAATTTCAATTATCCCACTCCTGCAATGTAACACATGACACCTCATCTAAGGAAAGAATTAAAGTTTCTACAACACATAAGTGTATTTCATCAGGAAACACATACCAGACAACAAATCAGGAAGCATTTTATATGTATATTTATATGTATATTTTACTACTGCAGCAAGGACGTGTATTGAAATGGGAGTGAATTGGAAATATGTGTTGGGAGTAGTAAATATTTTTATTTGATGGTTCTTAGTTTGGGCAAGATGAAATAATACAGAATCTTAAGGATTTGTAGGTTTGTGCTATGTTATAAATAATCTGCAGTTTTGATTATTTAATGATAATCTATTTTTTATTTATGTTTCTGTTAATGTGCTTGTTTCTGAAAAAAGTGTCATGTGCCAAAATACGTACTATAAACAGATGTGAGAGATGTAACACTTTAAAATCCAGAATTCAATTCTCATCATTGAAAAATTAAAAGTACTTTTCTAGCTAGGTAATTACCGAAAAGACTTAATAAAAATAAACACATTA